CTCCCCCAGGTCCCAACACCCAGCCAGTCGCGATGTATACAAAGTTTAAAAAAGTGCAACACGCCAAATTAAATTAACATGTGGGTTGGGTTGGTGAGTTAGGTGCGTCGTGTCATGGAGCCCAGTGCTTAAATGTGACACAAAAGGACGCGACAAAATTCAACAACTTAAGTTATTGGTGGGTGATAAAGCCACAGTGGACATACGCCACTCATTACATTTCGGCGGACAATTATTTGCCGCAATTCGTACATAGGCAGCATGCCTACCCCTGGACCCATCGACGCTGAACGAGGCGAAGTACTCACGCACGTATTGGCGGGGCGCAACAACAAATGCAATCGGTGACCAAATAAGTGCCGTGAGACACAGGAGACCGACACTACAGACACGGTACGTCTGTGATTAGACCTGACAGAGCGTCGCGATCGACCGCCTCCGTCAAACACTACATACGAAAACAAATTCCTCGTAGGTACATACGGCACCACCAAAGCTCCGTGAACGGCAACAAGAACTGACGGGTCACAGTTACACCGACAACAAACGACAGTCGTACAGCGCATATAAGCCACAGTACGCAACATGTGGTCACAATTATTAGTGCGCGTAAACAATTTATTGGTCATATACACAAGACGCGCGAAACACGCGTTCAACCATTTGGGTGGGTCACACCGGGATAGCGACGGAAACGAGTCGTCCCATTCCGACAGATTTCCCTTCGTTCCAGGTGTACCACATAAGTATAAAACGAATCGATGATATGAAACAATCGGCATTAAGCCGCGCGACGTCTTTTTTACGTTTTTCGACGATTTACCGTACTGCCAAACACAGTCGGTTGTTAACAATGTGCGGATATGATTCCCGCGACTAAAAACATATTTTTTGAACGATTCGTGGGGGCCAATTACCCAAAACACGATGATTTTGACGCCTACCCACGGACGCAAAGACGACGGCGACCACACGTATCGAGGACGGCGGCGCGCTAGTAGATCTACCGAAAACGAAGGACAGCGTTCCGTGATAATACGTTTAAACATTGTGGGTGGACGGCACACCACGGGGTGGGGTGGGAACACCGGCGGTTGTGTACGCGACACCGGTTGCGACGGCGGCACGTATACGCGCTTTAACACGGCCGGCGCTTGAATACAGGTCAATGACCTCTTATTGGCTCCACTGGCAACGCGCGCTGCGCGAATAGTACCGGGAGGGAGCCCGTCCCAAAACAAATCATAAATACACGGCCTTATAAAATTTGGCGATACTACCAAAGGTCCGAACACCGACACTAACTTGACCAACGGCATACAATGAGTCAATAAACTACAATCGGAAATATGAACACGAGTCACTGATTGTATAACTGTTGAACGGAGCACGGCTGAAAATGCATCAGACGCCGACGGACGGGACGCCAACACTTCCGAAAAACGACCACTCGGAAATATTGTACATTGGCCAAGGACAGACATTGACGTACGCGAAACTGACTCACAAGTCGTCGGATGTACTTTACTAATAATATTCCGCTCCGCAACCGTAGGACGAATTTGCGCCAAAACAGTTTTGGATGCATCGACAAGGTCACGCATAGTGATTTTTAAAGCACCTGAATACTCGTCAGCCCTATTAAGCTCAAACAAACAATTTAAAACGGCCAAATCAAAAGACTTAAAGTCATCCCACACCCAGTCTATGTCAGCAACATGAACAGAATACTGGAATGCTAAACTATTGTCGGTACGTACACGAACTCCCATGTCGTGTATACTTCGGATCATCGATATCATGGCCGCGCGCTTTATAGTGTACAATTTCAATAATCGTGTAAGGCGTCGCAATCTTTCATCATCTTCGACCATGGTAGCGAACAAAACCCTACGCTTCCCTGGAGGACTACAACCAAATAATGTTCCAACGAACTCAGTTCCAACGACACGGTAAAAACAACCGGCGTGAAAGGACAATAATAAAAACGTTACGTGGAATATCTCACAGCGACCGGCGTGAATAATAAATAATAATATTGATATATGAACGAAATCAATTCAACGGCCGGCGATTACGTTAGTACAATTATTGATATATCGATGATATCAACGGCGCGACCGACACGACTCATTTGTTATATAATCTAGATATATGGACGATATCAGACATAACGATCGGTGAGTGTACCTACTTACTAAATAACGACACTGAATATCTCAATGATATCCAGATAATGCGTAATTACCTAACGGCTAACTGTAATCTATATGACTATATATATAGCTTGTGTATGGCTGACAGCAACACTGAGACCTAAGCGGTTAACTAATTGTGTTATAGATATAACGGCTATACAATTGGCGCTCAGTACACATTAAATAAATTCAACTTATCTATAATAATAATATTCACAAACGGGGAACGGGGAAGACCGGGCAACTAATAAACCCATACAATAATTGTCAACCTCCGGTGAACACCCAAGCACTGTACTCGGTACCCAAAATACCAGGGCAAACACAACCAACACGACCAAAACAAACCGCTACCGAACCCCCCTGTGAGGTCGGATAACCACGCTCTGCTACCAAATGTTTGTTCGCCGCACCGCACCTACTTTTCTATCGCGGTTTGCGACAACGACTTGCGGTGTGTTGAGACGTGAAAAGGTTACCCAAGTATAAAAAATGATAAATTCCAAATGCGAGTACAAATGCGCTAGGCGCTTAATAATTATTATAGATAACAACAACCTAGGTACATAAAACAGGAATATATAACATAGGTACTAACAGACAGGGCGCCCCAAAACATAACAATATAGGTACTTAAAACAATTACAACGTCGGTCCGCCGTCGGTGATAGGTCCACTTGATGGATGTTGATGGATGGGCAACACCATGAACTGAATGGACAGCAACAAGCCATCTGCGGCACGCAATGATCGGCAACAAGCCAGTGGCGGCACGCAAAGATATAAGCGGCGGCACGAAATGAACGGCGCAAAGCCAGTGGCGGCACGCAATGATATAAGCGGCGGCACGAAATGAACGGCACGAGCCAGCGGCGGCACGCAAAGATATAAGCGGCGGCACGAATAGGTATAATGGTTTAACAACGCGACGACTACATGTGGTTTGGTCGCCAAAACCTAGTGAAACGCGGCGAGCGAACGCAACGAAGCGTCGGGCTCGACCGCCTGGAAAAGACACACGAACTTCTGGTGGCACAGCCTACGGCGGCGAACGGCCCGGCGCTGGACGGCCATGGAGGGGGTAAGCCACCTCGTGAGCTTCGGCATCCGAAGCGCAGCTTTGGGGACATATGCCGAAACTAAGATGGCGCGAAAACGCGTCCGTGTTCGAACATTCACAGTTGTGAATCTGAATCATACGATACTGTTTGTTAATCAAGTTTTTATTATATTATGTTATAGTAAATAAAAATAAAATGTTGATTTTTTTTACTGTTACTAATCATGTTTTTATTATATGTTACACTAAATAAAATTAAATGCTGATTTTTTAAAAAAAAACAAATTATATGTGTTAATATTTGATTTAATATCTCACGATCGTATAGACTAATGAGGTTAGTGTGTATAGAAATAATTTAAATGTATGCTAATCATGTTATAGTAAATAAAAATAAATGCTGATTTTTTTTAAAACAACTTATGTTTGAACTTCCCGCCGCTTCCAGTGCGACATTCGGCAACCGGTCCGCGAGACAGCGCGTCGCGCGGCCCGCAGACACCGGGCTCCGGCCAAGTCGCCGCCGGCGACTAAAAGCTTGTTTTTTTCGTACGCTCGATTTGAGTGGACCGTGCGTGTGTCGCGTCCGGCCGTTGTTCGGTGCCGTTTTGCGACAACTTCGTTTGGTGCAAGTTACCCGCGCATGTTCGCATTGTACATATTATATTATTTCGCTCTACGTATTATTTCGTTGTCGCGCCATCCGACGTAATTGTGTTTTCGACGCCGTTGTCGTCGTTCTCGACGTCGTACCGATTAACGTCGACGGTTGCCCGTTGCGCGACCGATACTCGCCGACGCGTGTTTGCCGCTGATATTCGCGCCCGTATTGTTGTTCGCATTGTACATATTATATTATTTCGCTCTACGTATTATTTCGCTGTCGCGCCATCCGACGTAATTGTGTTTTCGACGCCGTTGTCGTCGTTCTCGACGTCGTACCGATTAACGTCGACGGTTGCCCGTTGCGCGACCGATACTCGCCGACACGTGTTTGCCGCTGATATTCGAGCCCGTATTGTTTGTCAATTCGTGTCGATACATCTTGGTCGGGATTCCGACGGGCTCCAGTTCGTACCGTTTATATCGTTCGCCGGCATTATTATTATCGTGTGTGGATATCCCTCGTGCGACGCCGCTTCAGTTCCGTGATTACGTAATTTGCGCATTACGTAATCCGGTCATTCGCCGTCATCCGGAGCCGCCGCCGACAGCGGCCGCTCCCCATTCACCTCCGTGTCATCGCATCGCCGCAGCAGCTGTTCCAGTCGCCGCCGCCGATACTTCGCCCTACCGCGGTAATGTGCCGACCGGTAATCAAATTATTATTATCGTTATTGCCCTATCAGTTATATTGTTTATTATTATTTTGAGTTGCGCTCGGGAAAAGACGTTTTGTCGTGCCTCATAATATATTACTTTCTGTTATTTGCGCCGTGTTATAATTATATATATATATTGGTCACCTATCCCGTCCAAAACTGAACACCACTTTCTTTTATTTAAGTAGTTGCCCGGCCAAATGCTAGTGAATAGCCGGCAGCCCAAACATTTGGTAGCAGAGCGTGGTTCATTTATTATTTAATTGTGGTGTTCACGTTTTTATTGGGTTCGTGACAGTTTAGATAGGACCATTGCCCTGTTTTTTATTGTAGTTGAGCGCTGTTAGTTTGAGTGATTGTCCCGGGGGTTACGTGCGCGCACCTTTTGCCAGCATCCTTGCGACCTCGTAACCAGTCGCCATGGCTGCTGACGATGAATTGGAGCGGAATAAGCGCGCGAAGGGTCGTGCATTGGCTAAACGAGACTCGTACGTCGTTCGCATTAAGGCTATCCACACGACCGCTCTATCGGCCAGTGATGATGCGACCAAGGCGCCGCGGTTGCTCGCGGCATCCGCCAAGCTGGATAATTTGTTGACTGGGTTCGAGATTGAGGACAATGCTGTGTTCGAAGCTTATTGTGCTCTCGATATGTTGGGCGAGTATACGACGGACCTTCTTGTTGAAGTAAACGAGTGGGTTTATGATATCCAGTCTATTGCTGCACGCTATCGTGTTCAACCCGTCGCTGGGGGTGACCCTCACGTGGCACAACCCCGCGTTTTCCGTCGACTACCTGAAATTCCGTTACCGCAATTCGACGGCGATATCCATTAGTGGCCCGCATTCCGTCAGGCATTTTCGGTTCCATTGCCGTTTCGTGTGCCGTTGCATGATAATCTATTTCCTGGGTCTCGAGCGGTCGCAGCCAAACGGTTCGATCATCTCGAGCGGAAGCTAAGCTCGAACGATCGAATGCGCACCAAGTATAACGATTTTATGTCGGAATATTTGTCACTCGGACACATGTCAGTGGCGTCCACTCCTGGCCGGTATTTTATTCCGCATCATGCCGTGTGTGGCGCCGATGAAAAATTCCGCGTAGTGTTCGACGCGTCCGCTTCGGTCGCTGATGGCTCGTCATTAAACACATCGTTATTTCCGGGTCCAAAGCTACAACAGGACATCGTAGATGTGCTCACACGGTTTCGTTTGTTCCGTCACGCATTTACCACCGATATTTGTAAAATGTACCGACAAATTACGGTCCTTCCACAATACCGTGCGTATCAGCATATTCTATGGCGATCGTCTCCGCACCTGGAGCTCGTCGAATACGAGCTAAATACCGTGACGTATGGCGTAAATTGTGCGCCGTTTCTGGCGCTACGAGTTTTGCAAGAGGTCGCTGAGGTCGACTGCCACGGTTCCGCCCGCGTATGCGACGCGTTGCGTCACCAGACGTATGTGGACGACATTTGTTACGGCGCTGACACTGTGGACGACGCGCTCAGTATTCAAGTAGAGTTAACGGCTGTCCTTAACGGCGCGGGTTTTGAACTGCGAAAATGGGCGAGCAAGTCCATGTTGACAGAATTACCTTTCAAAGACTTTGAATGGGTTGATGATCTCGACATAGATGTAACTAAAATTTCCGATGATTCTGAAGTAGAATATATATTAGAAGTTGATATCGAGTACCCTAAGCATTTGCATAGAAACCATAATGATTTCCCGTTTTTACCGTTTAACGAATGTCCACCAAATTCAAAAGTTGAGAAATTGTTAACTACTCTATCACCGAAGAAAAACTATATTGTACATTACAAAAATTTGAAACAAGCAATTTCTCACGGTCTTAAAGTAGTAAAAATTCATCGAGCTATCCGCTTTTCACAAAAAAAATGGATGGCGTCGTACATTGAATTCTGTACAAAAATGAGAGCAGGAGCAAAAAACGAGTTTGAAAAAAATTTCTGGAAGTTGTTAATTAATAGTGTTTTTGGTAAATGTATGGAAAATGTCCGAGCAAGAACTTCTATAAAACTGGTTTCATCAGAAAAAAAAGCGAATCAACTAATGGCAAAAACTAGTTTTAAAGACAGAACTATATACTCTAAAAATCTCATGGCTATTCATCAACATAAGGAAACTATTAAATTCGATAAGGCAATTTATGTAGGATTTGCAATTTTAGACGTTTCGAAAACATTTATGTACGATTTTCATTATAATGTCATGAAGAAAAAGTATGGTACTAAAATTAGTTATTTATATTCGGATACTGATTCCTTGATATACGCTATTCAAACTATCAATTTTTTCAATGATTTAAAAAATGATTTATTACCATATTTTGATACATCTAATTACCCTAAAGACCATTATTGTTATAGCGAATTACATAAAAGTCAACCAGGCTTTTTCAAGGATGAATTGAAGGGAGAATTCGTATCATTAAGACCAAAATTATATGCATACAAAACTGTAGACGGTACTGAGGAAAAAAAGCAAAAGGTGTAAAGAAATGTATTATTAAAAAACATATGCAATTCGATAATTATAACTTATAAGGATATACTAAACGCTTTTATAAACCATTTATCTGTTAAGGATAAATTAACTCATAGAACCATGAATTTTATCCAATCAAACAAACATGTTGTTCAATCGAAAACAATGAACAAACTTGTTTTAAGCGCTGATGACGATAAACGTCATATAAATGATGACGGGATAAATGCTTTAGCTTATGGTCACTATAAACTGGATAAATTATGTAATGAAGGAAAAAAGAATTGATAAATCAGCAATTGATATAAACAAAAGCGTTATCTAACGGTAGTGTAATAAAATTTATTTTTTTAAAAAAAATAAATTTAAAAAAAAAATAGCTGTTGGGATAAAGAAATTACAAACTAAAAAACAAATAATTAATTCAACTTTTTTTTCTAACTTTTATTATTAAAGTATTACATATTATGCATAAAAAATCTTTATTTTAAAATATCTGATGATGTTATCCATGAATTTTGACTTGAATCAAAACCTAACCATTTAACAAGCATTTTATCCCGAACTTTTTTTACAATACGTTCAATGAGAAAGGTGTTTGGAAAATCAGTTAATTTAATTTCCTGTTCATAAAAACCACCTAAGATTATATTGTCTGATTCATCCTTTAGTTGATAAGTTACTGGATTTGTCTGTAAAACTTTTGAAACTGTAAATATTTCCGTTGTCCAATTTGGTGTATATCCTTTACTAAATATATGTTTATACTTAGATATTCTTACTTTATCATTAATTTTAAATTTTGGATTATATAATGTATCATTTATTTGTGTATTAAATTTAATTTTGTTTGTATTCATTCGAGCTTCATTCGGTGTACATTTGATTGTTCTATCTTTTGTATTATTATAATTTTGTGTAATTTTTGATAGTGTATTATACCAATTCCATGTACCAGTATCAGTAAAATGTCTATATATATTATTTTTAAGACTCTGGATCATGCGTTCCGCGATTGCACATTTAATAACACTGTATGAACTGTAATGTTTAATTTTGTATTTTTTCATTAAATCTTGAAATTGAACATTGTAAAATTCTGTACCATTATCTGTCTGTAATAATTTCGGATGAGCTTTTTTCAATATATTAAACATACCTTTTGTACATTCTTTCGATGTTTTATTTTTCAACGCCTCAAGCCATACGTACTTACTATATGTATCTATGACAACTAAAATATACTTAAAACCATAATTTTGTTTAGAATGAGATTGCATGTCCATTAAATCAGCTTGCCAGAGGTCATCAATAAACCGCGTTACTACACTGCGTCTAGGAAATATTTTTCTCGCTGGCCGATGTAACTCATTAGCTATACTCTCTAAGGTAGTCATTATACTATAATATTTCTCTCACGTAGTTCTTCTAAAATAGATATTATTTCATTATTCACACCAGTATTACCAACACTTTGTGATGATGTCAAAAGATTTAATCTAGTTACTAGCTCATTCGGATCGTCATAATAAACTAATTGGGTTTGAGGTAAGACATCTTTATATAAACCAGAACCTTTCATAGTCTTTGGTGATGAAGTAAAATTAAACATATTTTCAACTAATGGATTTGTAGACATGGAACTGTTTGCTTCTGGATTAAAATCAAATGGTTCAAATTCTTGTGTTATTTTTCTGCGTTTAGCGCTTGAACTAGATAAATGATTGTCAAATGATTTTAAATTAATTCGAGGAGTTGTATTCTCATTAATTTTACTTATTTCTTCGTTAAACTGTTTTTCCTCCATTTTCATTCGATCATACAGTGGTTTTACAACAGTCACCCATTTATGGTACCTCGAGGTTCTAGGTTTTCCATCTGCTTTTAAATGGACTCCACTAGTTTTCAAAATATTGTAATAAGATTCTATATCTGCTATAGTTGTATTTTTTGGTTCCTTCTCACATAATAAAGACCATAGTCCTGGTGTAAATTGGTAGTATTTATTAAGCAACAGTAATTTGCCGGGACTAAAAGTAACAGAATGTTTTCCTATTTTATATGAATCACTATCTTTATCATAATACATACCATAAAATTTATCATAACGTGTTGATTTAGGACGGTTATTTAAAAAATTTTCATATGATGAATTTAATAAAATTCATCATCATTATCTTCTTCACTAAAGCACGGGGTTTCTGATTTATTTTCTAGTTCAGTTGACCGTGTGTTACATATTACATTTTGTTTCACATGTGTACTCAATGGTTCAATTATCGGCTTAAATGCTTCACGGAAATATTTTTCAGAATCTATAACACCATGTTTCATTTCCATTATTTTTCGTTGTATATTTTTTTTTTATGTTATTAAATTTTCCAACAAGACTTTTTCTTTGTTCATTGTAAATAATAAATGTAATATACCTGTATCGTATGACTACTGATGACACTATGCAGATAATAACTGTGTGACGGTATATTTATATAAACACATAAAATTATTTTATTTTAATGAATGTATGAAAACCGCATCTATATTTTCCTTCATTCATTTTTCGAGTTTTATCGATAACCATAAACCCATAATAGCTATGATTCCAGCATAAATGAGAAATTTTCCGAAATTCTGAGAAATCCATATCTGCAGACGAATGATCGTTGAATATATGTCGTAAATTTGTATCATCTTGTTTCAGTATTATTAAAAAGTTTGCGTTATCTCTTACAAGCTGTTTTCATATTTTAGAATATGTCTGTGCTAAATAAAATACGGAGCTGGCACCTGAATGTCTACCAATGCTAAAGTATTCTCTGATTACAGATTGTGGGCCTGCATATCACATCATCAAAAATTATAATAGAATTTTTCTTAGTTAAGTTTGGTTTTATAACCTTATCAGAGCTTGTAAATATGAAAAAATTAGCACCTTTTATATCATCTATTATTTTTTTCAATAAAACATATTTTTCCTGATTAGAGGTTTTCGAGTATAAATAAATATTTTCAAATCTTAACCCGTTTGCATGTGTGATCAGATTATACATTATATTTGTTTTTCCTGAGCCACTGGGACCAACTAGTATAGCACGTATGGTATCGTGTAATAACGAACCATGCCGTGAAGGTTTTTTTACAATCTGAACATCTACATTTGTAACATCCAATTTAACTTTCTGTTCTATCAAATCCATATTATTTTCTTATAAATACTCTAGAATTTTCCAAATTTTAGCCAGTTATAGATGACGCGTTCAACTCGCAAGTGTAAGTCAGTCAAGACTGGAAAAGGATTTGTAAACTCTCTTATAAAATATAGTCTCCCGTTCGAAGCCCATGTTTCAGGATATCAGTATTGTGGTCCTGGCACGAAATTAAAAAAGAGACTAGATCGTGGTGATAAAGGAATAAACCCATTGGATACTGCTTGTCGTGATCACGATATTGTGTATGCAACGAGTAAAAATTTAGACGATAGACATAAAGCTGATAAAGTGTTAGAAAATCGTGCTTGGGAAAGATTTAAAGCAAAAGATACACCTAGAAAAGAGAAATTAGTTGCGTACGCAGTAACAAACGCAATGAAATCTAAAAGAAAAATAGGTATGGGTTGTAAACGGAAAAGTGCTATAGAAACAAATGGTATACTAGCAGCGAAGAAAAAAAGAATCTTAAAGAAAAAGAATGGTGGTAAAAGGTTGATTTTAGAGCCGAGACAGTCAGGAGGTGTAATTCCCTTAATACCTATATTTGCGGGATTGTCAGCACTTGGTAGTTTGATGTCTGGAGGTGCTAGTGTGTATAATGCGGTTCAAAATTCAAAAAGAAAAAAAAGGTAGTGGTTTGAATTCAAACAAGAATAGGTTAAAAAAAACTGATGATTACGCTACCTGACAGACCGCTTTCGTCTCAAAATATTATAAAATATGTTGAAAAGTTGAAAATCAATCATTTCCGTGGAGTCTTTTCACGTGATAACTTACCTAAAAAACCACATACGGTTGAATGTGGTATATTAAACTTGGATATATCTTCAGGCGACGGAAGTCATTGGGTAGCGTTTTATAAAAATATGGACAAAGTTGTATATTTTGATAGCTTTGGTGATTTACCTCCACCAATTGAATTACAACATTATTTCAGACAGTTAAAAATAGTATATAACTATTCCAACTATCAAGACTTCAATACATTTAACTGTGGTCATTTATGTCTTGAATTTTTACATTGCATGAATCTATTACATTAAGTTTGACTGGAAATTCGACTGTATTATCTGTAAATTATTTTCCGCCTATAAACCTTTACGATGACTCAGAAATAGCTTTGTTATGTTTACAGTCATTTAATTCATTCCCAAATATTAATGAAAATAATAATAAATTTTCTATACAAGTAGTTGATAATTTAAACAATAATGATCCTATGTTATGTTTTATTACATTGGAAGAGGGTTGTTATGAAATTGAAGATATTAAGGATCGAGTTAAGAAGCAAATAGTTGCCTATAATAGTAAAAACTTAACCAATTTAACATTCGACATTACGGTTGATCCTGATGATTTCAGATCGTATATAAAATTTAATGGAATACTACACTTTGAATATCCATATAGTATAGCACCTGTATTCGGTTTTGAAAAACGAGTATATAATCCATACAACATTCTTCGATCGGAAAAAGCAATAAATTTAAACACAATTAATTCTATAAAAGTAATGTGTAATATAGCTCAAGGATCATTCAGCAACCATCTTCAGAGTCATTCGATTTATGAGTTTTCATGAGTGGAAAGACAGGGTCGAAAGTAATTCAGGCACCGCCAAATTTAATATATTACAAATTGAATAAAACAAATATTGATTCGATAACTGTTCAGTTAGTTGATCAAGATCATAAACCGATTGATAATTTTGGTGAAGCATTGACAATCGTGTAATATATTAAACGTTACGGCTCTTGAGATGGGATTAAAATTCAATATAAACCCACTACTTTAGATCAGTGCAACTAGTCATAAGACTAAAGTGCTAGCAGTAACATCAAATAAAATTAAAAAATTGACGGTGAAGAATAAAAAAATTTTACAAGCTCTGGGTTATCAATTAAAGTAGAATGCCTGAAAATTATATTTTGGATATAACTTCACAGTACGAGACGGATTCTAAAATTACGAAAATCGAATATCATAATATCACCGTATACAACATAATTTAATAATAATGATGAAATACGTATATCAATCCAGAAAACGGATGTCTACCCATATCTACACGAAAGCTTT